AGCGTGGGGCTGCCCCATGCCCCCCCCAACTTCAGTCCTCCGCAAGCCAGAAAGTGTCCCTTCTCCCATCCACCTCATATATTTTGGGCTGAAATGATGGGCCATGGTTGTCTAACACCCACCAACATGCAGTGGGAAGGACAGGAGGGACACACCCTGCACACTGCAACAACCCTTACGGCTCTTCCCTTCACCTCCTGCCTCCTCCCGTCCATCAATTTGACAAAATGAATGAATTTAAAAGCCTTATTACTTAATTTCCGCTGTTAGCAACTCCCAGGAAGGTGTCTACCAGCTGCAAAAACCTTGGGCACAGTTTGGTCCACATTGTTTCTTCCACAGAGGATATGTCCACCACCCAGAAACCATTTAACAACCCCTAAATCCCAATGCTGCAACACCCCAAATGGCCACAGGCTGCATTTTTGGAGGTGTCCCTGGTCAGTTGGGGCAGCTGGGCTAGGCTGTACAAGCTCTGGGTTCTTGCCTTAGCACTAATTTGGACTTCCAGGTGGCCACGTCCAACCCTGAGCCTCAGGCAGGCTTGGTCTCAGTGTGGTGTATGCTCCCTGCACCACCACATTGCTGCTTTGTGACAGAAATAGCTAAGTAAAGATCTTTGCAGCAGCAGCATGCTTTTTAATCTCATAAGCATACGGAAATTTTTATTAGGATGCTATGGGGTGGTAGAAGCAGCTCCAACCAAAAGCCAACCCAAGCGGGATGGCACAAGGAGCTGTGCTTCCAGCAGGTCTCAAATGGCTGTACAAAAATACAGTATTGCAGTTGTATGAGCAGGAAAGTTTTATCCAAAAAGGTTTGTGCTAGTAAAATACGAAATGGGAAAAAAAAGTTCCAAAAAAGTGGTTGCATAGAGTTGCTCAGGAGCAGTTTAACTGAAGCCCGACAGAATGAGAAGCAGCCGAGGGTGTCGGAAGGGTCATGCCCACAGTGGCTTGCCGCTGGCCGTCAAGAAGGAAATGTCACATGGAGGCTTTGCGGTTGGAAGTCACGAGCTCACTACTTCCCCTCTGTTTCTGGCAAAGATTTGTGGCCATGCACGACAGGCATGTCTATAGCATGGGGCCAAGGGGGTGGGTCAGACACATGGCACCTTCTGTGATGGAGACACTGCTCCTGCCCTTACTGGGGTCTCTTTGGAAAAGGAGTTAATTAAATATGCAACTTGTAGGGAATTTTTCCATCTATGTGAATGCTTAGAAATGCTGTCACCTGTTTGGAATATAGTCACAGCAAAGACTGGGGTTTTTCTCCTCTTTCTTTTTCTCCTCACCTTTCATAAGTGACTTTTCTATGGGCAGCCACGTAGAATATTGAAGAGTTAACAGGAAAAGAGGCTTAAATCAAGTTTCATTTCCACTGGCTTTAGCCTCTGTCTCTGGTCTCTGGCAATAACCGCCTTTGCTGCGTTACAAAGCAATCACTGTGCAGTGGCAGATTTATGCCACATGGGAGAGTCCTTTGCACATCACATCCCTGCCATGCCGGGCACACAGGGATTTTGTCAATGAGCTGTCCTTCTAACTGATCACTTTAATCCTATTGCACGTCTAATTAATGTTTAGCAGTTACAGGCTCCCGTGGTGGTTTTTTTCTTTCTAAAAGAGAAAACATAAAAGATCTGTGGTGTTTTTTTTTTTTTCACCTATGAAGTTTTCAAAGCCTTTCAGGGCTAAGCAATGGTTTCTCTCATTTTTTTTATGCACTGTGGTGTAGGTCTGACCTCTGCTATGTGACTACAGCTTGTATTACTTGCACTGGCTTAGCAAAAAATGTTGATCTCCTTCCTTCTTCCATTCAGACTTGACTTGCCCTGTTACTTTAGGGTTTCCTTCCCTGGTCATGGAGAGACAAAATGATTGAAGTCTTCTTCTTTTTCTTTTTTTTTTCCTAAATCAGTTGGGGGGGAAAAAAAAAAACCACAAACATTTTCAAATGTAATGATTCCATACAATAAAGGCAGGAGGCATGAATTTCTGGGTGGTTTTTTTTTTTTTTGAGTGGAACATGTCATGTGAGTAAAGGGGAACACCTGCATCTCCACAGGCTCATGCCTAAGTGTGCTTAAAAGCCAGAGGTAAAAAGAAAGAGAGTTTCTCCTCAAAAATAGTCTTTCCCCTTTAAGTTCCACCATAAAACAGTGATTTAACTTTCCAAGTTTATCAAGTGTAAAGGTTATGCAGCAGCTTTGGTCTTCTGCGTGTGGCGTTGCTCCAGTGGCGCTGTTGCTTCTCTGTGTCTTGTCTTCGGCACTGGACAACCCCAACAGCCACAACTGAGAAAACGAACCCAAATCGTCCCCCGGAGCATGAGGTGGCAGCTGACGACTGCAAACAGCCACAGGAGAGCCAGTGGTGCAATGGCAAATTGCTGCAAATGCCCCTGCTTCTTTCACAATAAAGCGCAATGCATACATCAAAATTCAATGTGGTGGATGCACATGATCAGCTACCTGTTTCAGAGCTGCTCTCAGATGGGAAAATTCAACACAGCCTGTTACCAGCTACCACCAAAGGGCCACAGCCTGAGAGCGGGGCATCTGCTTTGTTTTTTCAGCACATGCCCTAGTTTTGCAGGGCTTTGGGCACAGCTTCAGCACAGGCTACAGACTCAAAAGCCAAAGTAGGTGGGAAGAGATGGCTGGAGGGCTTGGGGCAGGGCCACCTTCATGGCTGGAGCAGGTTGCTCTTCTTGCACTTGTCCAGCGGTGATCAGAAACCGACAGTACTTAGAAACCAGTGCAGATCCTGGATGGCTGTTTGCTTCCAGCCCTCATCGCCCTGACGCACTGAAACCTCAACCCATGAGTCATGTGGTTTGTGAAAGGGTTTGTGCAACCTTATCTCAGATGCCCCTGTTGACCTGGGGCTTGGTCTGGGACTCTGTACCAGCAAACGAGTGTCTGCAAACGAGGAAAGCGCCAGGCGCTTGGAGCAGCTGAAGCCTCCCCGGCACTGTGAAGCTGACACTGGGACACAGCACGGTGAGGGTACCACGGGGAGGAGAGAGATGGGCTCATGCAGAGCTGTGGGCTCATGGGAACGGCACGGAGAGGCTGCCAGAAGGTTTAATCCCAGCCCCACAAAGCTCATTTCTGTCCTTTAGACAAGGACACATATCACTGGGCTTTTGTAAAGCAACGGTGGGAGGGGAAAGGGGGAGCTGGGAGTGTTTTGGCTGGTGTTTGGGGTTTTTTTAAATGAGATCAGAGGAAATGCTTGGATTTAATCAAGAAGGGGCTTAATCAAACAGTCCCTGCTGAAACCTATCAAAGCAGGAGTCCAAATGCAGCCTCCAGGCCAGGTCAACAAAAGCCGTTGCGTGTTGTCTTGTGTTTGCACCCTCAGCTGCGCCAGCACGTTGCCCATCTCCTCCTGTCCCTGGGGGGTTCGGTGGTTCCCTCTGAGCTCGACCTGACCTGACCTGCTGTGAGACACGTCCCTGCAGAACCCCACCATTCACCCATGCTGCGCTTCCTCTGGGACAGCATCTCCTTCCAGATGCTCCTCATCTTCTTCATTGTCTTCCTGCTCGTTGCTGACTACATGAAACGCAGAAAACCGAAGCACTTCCCTCCCAGCCCCTTCTCTCTCCCCTTCGTGGGGCACATCCATCTGATGAACTTCACTGATCCACACATCACGGTGCAGAAGGTACAGAGGTGGTGGGCTCTGCGGGGAAGGGGACAGACAGGATTGCAGCACAAGGAAGGGGTTAACCCAAACCCCATGGCCCATGACCCTTGTGCAAACACCCTGTCTCCCCTCCTGCTCTCAGCTTCCCTTATTTTCACCTGTGTCCCCTGCCAGGACTGTTCCTGTCCCGACAGACACATTCATTGCAAATGAAACCCATTTTATTTACTTCCCCCTCCTCCCAGTATACTGAAAAGTATGGGAACATCTTCAGCATGCAGATGGGCAGCACATCATTTGTGTTCATAAATGGGCTGCGGATGATTAAGGAAGTTCTTGTAAACCAAGGGGAAAACTTCATGGATCGCCCTGACATTCCTGTTGACAGGGAGGTCTTCAGTAAAATGGGTGAGTTATCCCTCAAGACACGTATCTCAGCTGCAAGGTCAAAGCGTCGACCTTGCAGAGGTCCAAGGCAGCTGGAGATAAGGCAGAGCCCTGGAGATTTTTCTCCTCGGTGGATGGATCTGCCTTGGCTCACAGTGTGGTATTTCTGCAAGGACTGGTCTCCTCCAATGGGCACTTGTGGAAGCAGCAGAGAAGGTTCACCTTGACCACCCTCCGAAACTTCGGCCTGGGTAAGAGGAGCCTGGAGGAGCGCATCCAGGAGGAGTGCCAATGCCTTGTGGATGTGATTGGGGAAGAGCAGGGTGAGTGCCACGGCTCTCATAAGATATGCTGAAGGCAGGAACCAATATGGCCCATTATAATTTCATCCATGATTCACCGCATGCTGAAAAATACCTCACCTTGCAAGCGATGCTAGCACCCTGCCAGCTTCCCAGTTCCCTTTTAACTTCAAACTGACTGGTGAATGTAGCTAGGTAACACCCAAAGCTTTATTCATTCAGCATATTCACCTTCAGCCTACTGCTGTCTTGGAGGTCTCTGGAAAACCCCATGTGTGTGTAAATACTGATGTTTCCAATTAATTCAAATTACATCTGCTCTCCTGCAGACCTTGTTTTCCAAAGTAAACAAACATCTCCATAGTCTGGTTGAATGGGGACCGCTGGGGCTGTCCAACCAAGCTTGGTCAGCTCATGGGGAACATGAGGGGTCCTGGGAGAGCAGTGACACAGGAGGGTGCCCATCATCAGAGGCCACGCATTTCACTTGTATTTGTTGAATATTGTGTTTCTGACAACTGTGTTTTTTTCTTTTCTGTGAAGACTGGAAAAGAATTGACCATTCATTTTCCTTCTCTAGGGAATCCTTTCAACCCTCACTTGAAGATCAGTAACGCCGTTTCAAACATCATCTGCTCCATCACCTTTGGCAATCGATTTGAATACCATGATGAGGACTTCCAAAAAATGCTGCAACTAATGGATGACACGGTTAAGCTCCATGCAACCGTCATGAGCCAGGTACAGCCCTCCTGCCACCAACACAGATGGTGCACTTCTCTGCAGGGCCATTGTTTCTTCTATGGAGTCAACCTCAAAACGCATGGCATTTTCATCACCAAACTTTGTTGTCATTCCCTATTCCTTTGCACAGAGTAGATTTGCCTGTAATTTCTTTCTGCCTTATTTTCAAGCTGTGTGATGCTCATGTTGCTCTCTTACCCAACATCTCCCCTGCCCATTGACTGCCAACCCGCCTGCTGTAAGGCCCGGTAATGCACAAGTCACTCCGTAAGAGGAATGCCAAACCCTTGTAATGCTCTTTTGGAGCTGAGCTATTTCCACCAACTCCAGCAATTTAGTAAGCGTGGCATTGCAGGCTCCTCAAGTTTTGATAACAGAGGAGTTTTTTTCAGTCCTTTATTCATTTTTCTTTCTCCTTTTGTGTCCAAAGCTGTACAAACTTTCCCAGCTATAATAAAGTTTTTCCCTGGATCACATCAAACCATTTTTAAAAACTGGAGGTTGTTGAAAAGATTTGTGAAAGAGAGGATTGACAAACACAAGGAGGACTGGAAGCCCTCGGAGAGCCGGGACTTCATCGACAGCTACCTGCAGGAGATAGCCAAGGTCAGCAATGCAGAGCAAACCCTTCTGCAGTAGGATTTAGAAATCAGGAGGGAAGAGAAACAAGTCCAAATTCTCCATCTGAGCTGCCCATGTGGCCATTTATGAACTTAAGCTGGACATCAGTTTCAGGGCACCCATCAGTGGGATAGAGAGGGTTGGCAGCTTCTGCCATAATCCTTGGGGTTGACTTTAACTAAGCCTGGTGTCAGGGCAGCTCTCCCTGTTCGTGCGGCCCTAACACACCTTTCTATGAAGGACAATGGCGACGGCAGCTTCCACGAGGAAAACCTTGTGGCGTGTGTCCTCGATCTGCTGTTCGCCGGGACCGAGACTACTTCCACAACCATCCGCTGGGCTGTGCTGTATATGGTCCTGTATCCTGAAATTCAAGGTACAATTAGCAAACAGTCAGAGGTTTTCCTTGCCTTGTCAAGAGACAAATTGGGACTCCCACTGCCCTCACACAAAAGAGGTGCAAACAGTGGCAGGTGTCCCAGGTTGGTCCTTAAGAGACCCTCACAGCCACCACCTTGGGTTGGTCCAAGGGTTTTTTTTTCTTGGACCTTAGCTGATCCCTGCTCTTTCCCACCAGCCCGCGTGCAAGCTGAGATCGACACTGTTATTGGGCAGGCACGGCAGCCAGCCTTAGAGGACAGGAACAACATGCCCTACACCAACGCTGTCATCCACGAAGTGCAGAGGAAAAGCAACATCATCCCTTTCAATGTTCCAAGAATGACGACGAAGGACACCATCTTGGATGGCTTCCACATACCAAAGGTAATGCCACTCCTGAGCACTAAGACTTTAGCAAGAGCCTCCCAGTTCCCCAGGCACGATTTGCTAGATCAGATCTCTCCTGGCACAGATAGGAGGGGCTGAGCCACAGCGTCTCTACCCTGTCCAGAATTCACTCCTAGTAAACACGTATTTTTGATGTCCAAACAATGATCTCCAACACATTGAATGGTGCGAAGCGCTGCGGCACACCCCCTGAGCACAAAAATCGAGGAACAGATCCCATCTCACGCAGCTTTTACAGGAACTTTGGCCCAAGATTACAGCAGATAAAAATGATGCTGATGAGGAAAAACCATGGGTTTATAAATCATTGCACCTCTGAACAGACAAGAAGTAGAAAAACTAGCTGTGCAGGAGGGTGGTGGACAAACAATTGCAGCAGAATTTGGCTATGGATAGTCTTCATGGAGAGGAGACTGGAAGATAAAAACACCCCTCCTGCCGTCAGTGGCAGAGAAAGTGCAATTCATTTTCCTTTTTCTCCTCTTAGGGCACTGTTTTGCTCACAAATTTAACTTCTGTGATGTTTGACAAGAACGAGTGGGAAACACCCAACACTTTTAACCCTGAGCATTTCCTGAAGGACGGTCAGTTCTGGAAAAGGGAGTATTTTATGCCTTTTTCTATAGGTAAGATTTGGTGGATTTTGGTGCTTTGGTGCTGAGGCACTGGGATGGGGCTTCCAGCTGCATGGTGGAGACACAGGAAAACAGCGATAGAAAGGGCAGATGTTGGCTGCACCCTGGGAGGTGCCCCTCAAGCAGTGTTCATGTGCCCCCCTCCCCCCCCCCAAGCACAGCAACCACACTCTGAGCCCTTTCTTGACTCTCTTCACATGCACAGAAGAGAGACGAGGATGAATAAAAGACCATAAAAATGCCAGAGACCCTAGAAATACCTTCACCAAGGCAAGAGCATCACTCTGTGCTCCTGCCACCACAGGGTACCCCATGCAACAGCTTCCCCAGGGACATTGCTTTTAGCATCCCTGTTTCCCGTATCAACATCACACACCTTCTCTGGTAGCTCTCTTTGGTGTAGCTCAAACCACCTCTCCCAGCATGGGCACATCCAGACCCTGCATGTCAGCACAGCTTATCCAAGCAGGGGAGGACACCACGTGTGTGCATATGGTTACACACATGTGCCCTCACAAGGTCATGCAATCTGGGGAGCAGCTCATGCTCTAACGCCAATGCTGTTATTGAGGAGCTCAGTTTAGGCTGCAAAATTCATCCTAGAAAGGGGGTAACATGCTGGACCATGGTCCTGAGGGAACGCAGAGGCTTTTTCACCAGCACAGGCTGAGGATGCCGTGGGTGGCTGTCTCCACAGGGAAGCGTGCCTGTCTGGGTGAGGTGCTGGCCCGCTCCGAGCTCTTCCTCTTCTTCACGTCTCTGCTCCAGAAATTCACCTTCCAGGCACCCCCAGACACCACGCTCAGCCTCCAGGCCAAGCTGGGCATCACAATGGCCCCAGAGCCCTACAGGATCTACGCGGTGCCTCGGTAGGGAAGTCTTGGCCACCATCCTCACAGCAAAAAAACCTTGGCAGGGATGCAGTGGTAACAACCGCCCAGCTCCAGGGAGAGGCTGGGCGGTTTGTTTGTTTCTGTTAAAGCAATTGCAAAATCATTTCTTTTACAAGCAAACCTCCCACTCTTATCACGTGAGAAAGGTGATCAGCCTGGGATCTGCCAGGGCGCTTTTAGGCTTGCCATATGGCACTGTAGATGAATGCGGGGCTTGGGGCTTTCCTAATTTTATGATGGATCACCACAGTGGCAAGAGAATGAACAACGCTTTAGAGACTGCAGTGTCCAGGCTGTGGAAGAGCAGTACCAGCCCATGTTATATAGCATTAATACAGGTATTAATTACCAACATTTTCTGATTTTGCTGTCCTTGACACAGTCTGTTAAAAAAAAAAAAAAAGGCACTTTATAACCGTCTCTTTCTTGCGCATCAATAAATCCTTATGGAAACATTTTTGTCATGAATCATTCTGCAAAATGAAGACCAACACAGGCGATTTTCAGCACTGGCAGCAGCCCTCAGCCGTGCCCCACACTTTGGGGTCAGGGGGGTGGCAGGGGGCTATGAGCCCACCTGAGCAGAGGTAGCCGCACAGCGCCCAACCCATGTCGCTGTGGCATTGCTCTCTGTTAGCAGAGAGGTTGGCACTGCAATTGCGAAGGCAATTCTTATGAACTAATGAAAATAAATTATCCTGACAGTATGAGTAAAGCAGCAATGAAACCACCAAAGCCTGTGGCCAGGTCCTGGCGTGCCACAGCAAATAACAGTTTGACACCCACATGGAGAACAAGGAGTGCTCTCCATGCTGACATATTTCTCTATAAAATCTCTGTACTTGCTCTGGAAGTCATGGGTCCTGCCTCCTAGACTATGCTAAATCCTCCCAGTTTGCCTGCCCAGCATCTCAGAGCAGCCTGAGGGGCAGGAGCGGTGAGCTCCAGCAATACAGGATGTACAGCTTGGCCTGCTGAGCATGACAGTCTGATAAATAAAAGGGTCTCCTGGAAAATACGAGCAACAAATCACCATTATTTTAAACCATCACATGCAAGGTAAAACAGCTCCAAGTAACAGTCACACTGTGCGACCCCAGCAGAGACCCCAGGTGGCAGAAGCTGCAGCTCCCAGGAGCGGGACCAGGGCTGCCAGGCAGGAAAGCACAGCACAACATAGTGCCGATAACACACATCTCCAGCTCCTGCTCACCTGCTGAAGTGAGGAGAAAGCAATCTTTCCTTGTTCATTTTCAACATTTCCTGGAGTACTTTTTGCATGTTCCTCTAGGAAGTTTTCCCAGCATCTCTTCCAAGAATTAATTCATGTCCTGATGGAATTAAAAGCATCTTTTTTCATGCAAGCATTAATACCCAGGTGGGTTTTAAATCCTTTTATTTTAGCCTGCACAGAGGGGAGGCAGCAATGGAAGGGGAAAAAAAGGGCAGAAACACCCTGTGGCCCCACAGCTGCATGCTGAGGCCAAGCACTGCCATACAACATAAAGCAAACTTTATGGCAGGTGAACACGGCTTCTGGAAAGGCTCCTTTAAGGAGCTTGGGGGGAGGTTCTGACCCCTCCTCTGATTTCCTGTGCCAGGCACAGCTGGGTGGAAATAAGAGCTTGGCCTAAGATGCTGTTTCTGGCACTGGAGGCTCCTGTTTTGCAGATCCACAAGGTGGAGATGTGAGAACACATGGTGGGAACCAAACCAACCTCTTTACAAAACACGAGGGACTTGACCAAGAATTGGGATGAGACATCCCCAACCCCAGCTCACCACCCCTCCTCTCCCTGTGCCTGCTGCCCTCCTGACCTGCTCCTGGCAAGGGGCTCCCACATCTTCCTTTTGCAGCAGAAACAAGGAAGTTCATTCGACTTTCTAGACCTTACATTCATTCTTTTCCTTCCTTGGGAGAAGCAGAAGGGGAAGGCTGGAGGTGGGCTGCATGCCTGGAATTGTCTGGAAACTGGAGAGGGGAGCAGTGATGAGTGTCTGTTTTGGGCAGCTTTAGTCCCAAAGCACTTGCAGTTTGCAGGTGTCATCCTACTTTTTTTTTCCCCCCCCATTTCCTTTCCCAGGCTACTGCTATATCCAAAAGCTTCCTCCCTCTCCTCCCCAGGTCTCCGCTGGGTTAGTCGTACTCTGAACAAAAAGCACATTTCACAGGAGCATTTTGCACAGAAGCTCCTTGGATATTTTGTCCCCCTCCACTGAAATCATCTCCCATGCATGGCTGACCTCACCGCCTCCCCTTCTTTGTGCTCGGGGCTGTACTCCCACACCTCTCTTCCAGGGACAGCCCTCATCTAAACATACAAACCTTCTGCTGCAGCACCTGGCTCCTAAGGAGCTACCACAAAAGCCATAAGCAGGGTCACAGCAGTCTGCATTTCAGCATAACTTCTTGTGACCAAGGACACACCACCCGTCGCTCGCTCCTCTTGCACTCAGGAAGGCGGGGGTGGCTGCTGGTGCGTGTCCTGCAACAGCTCAGACACGGGCTGAAAACATCCTGCAGCTCCGCTCAGGCTTCCTGCACAGCGGAGAGCCTCTCTCCTTCTCCCTCAGCCACACACCTGCAGTTTTTGTTCTTTGGTGTCTGAAAATGCTTTTAAGTCCAGCCTGGGAAAGAAGGAAAAATGGTTCTTTTGTATCTGGCCATTCATCTCAGTGTCACTGGGATACTTCTGCCAGTGCAAAGGCCCTTCCATGTTGAGGTACCACACAGCTCCCTGTCCTCACAGCCCAAGGCAGTACACAACAGTTACTCACTGATGTCAGGCTAGTCAGGCCAAGGATCATGGTTCAGAGAAACGGAAAACCAAGCTCTGTAGGAAAAACAGGTCTGAACCAGGGCCTCCAAAGGAAACTTGATAATCTTCACACTGGAAGGCTGAGCAGCTGCCTGCCCTCATTTCTGGGTTGAGGTTAGTGCTCAGGGAACAAGAAAGCCGTCAACGAGACTAAGAACTGGGCACACAAATAACCCCCAACGCAGACTGAAGAGGGAGTTCTCTTTTCCAGATAACGACAAACACAGTGATTGAGAAGCATGTACCTGTCCTCTGCCTCCTCTTAGGTGGGGCTGAGGAGAGTAGGCAGGGATCCTAACTTACTTCACTAGCAATTACCGAGGTCACTTGACAGCTAAACTTGTAGAGCATTTTAAAGGTCTTTTGACTTCATACGGTCACTTGCCCAGCTCCCAGGTGACTGTCAGCAGACCAAGCAGAGGTAACCAGCTTGGGGGGGAGCAGAACTGTAAGCGGGAATGAAAAGAGGAGGGGAAAGCAGCACATCTCTGACTTGCTGCTGTTACAGCACAACATACATACACTCGCTATACATACAGGTTACACATCCTGTGACATGACATTTTAGATGGTGTAATTAGAACAACAACGCAGACCCAGTTCATATGTTACCCCAAAGTATGAATGCTTACATCAGCTAGGGACCATTAAATACATTGCTTGGAATAAAGACACCAGAGAATTAATTTTAAAAATCTTTATGTGAATATAAAATAATTCTTTCCAAAGAAAAATAAAAACAAAAGTTTAAAAATTAGTGCAATTTTTCAAGTTCTATGCAACACAGTGTTTACATTTGTTTTAAACAGAAGATGTAGACACTGATACACTGAAAAATCTTAACTCTAGCTTGACTAGTGGGGGAAGGGAAAAAAAGAAAAAAGTTAAGAAAACTACTTTACTAGACATTACCAACTCTTAAACAATTGTTTTCATTTTCTATTTCCTAAATTATTTATGGCTACCTAAATAAAACATCAGTATTGCTTATATTACTCATTTCCAAATAAGTGTATACTGTAGAAAATAGAGTACCCATATACATATTTTTAATGAACAAAAAAGCAGTTAGGTGAAAATTTATTTTTAGTGAATGTTTCTTAATCCACTATAACACAATTGTTGCAAAAGAATCTTCTCAAAACTGCTGCCTGATCCACCTTGAGGAAAAGAACCTACTAGTCCAAAGTTTGTATTATTGCTACAAAACACTTCTCTTCCATAATGGTTATTCTTAACCTTATATAAAAAAATTGACAAATTATATGTCAATCCAAACATATTTTTATTTCTTTGGATCTATATTACCCGTTTTACTGGAAACTGGCTAAAGTTACTAATAATGCTGATTAAATTCAGCAACATTCAATGATTTCATCTCATAATTTGAATCTGTTCCTAACTGTGCTGTCTGGGCATGATACGAATTCATCTCGCAGCAGAGACAGGCAGCCTCTGTCTTCGCCCTGCCTCGGCAGTGGTGCACATTGCATCAAAGAACATTGTATTGACATTGTTCTGCTGCTACGTGCAACTCGGCTGTAACACAGCAGCGCTATTAGTAGCTTTTTTTGTTTGCCGTGAATGAAGTTAACATTAAAATGATCCTTATTCCAACAATCCTTTCTGCACAGCCAGCTGAGCTGAAGTGAATACAACACCATGGCTTATAACAAATACTTACTTCTACAGATCGGTTCCTCATGCATAGGACATAACCCAAGTTTAACCAGTTATGAAACCACCACTCTTAAACAGGTTCTCAATCCCAAAGAAACGCTTACGTTATATTCACAGGCTTAACTCTAAACAGTTTGGAAGAGTCCCAAATAAGTAACATTTCATCTAAAACCTGAAAACCAGATTCATTTTTGGCAAGCCCAACACTATTGGGTACAACCTTGTCCTGAAAAAAGCTGATCCTTGTAGTTCCGTGTTTAAATTCTTCCATTGCTAGTCAGAAGACAAACTTCCAACTAAATGATAGGGAGGTTCTTGGTCATTTTTGGTCCCAGGTTCTGCAGTTTTGAGAAGTGTACAAAGACATTTGCTCCAAGTTTTTCACTATTCAGCACCCGATATGTCTACTGACACAGCTCTACTACTGTGAGAAGTACAACAAATGCATCAAGCCTACTAACTAGATGAGTATTTGAAAGACATCCATGAAAGTTTCCATGCTGTAAAGAACGAGGGTTAAGAGACCCATTCAACACCATTGGTGATAGTTTCACATTTCACTAGAACACACCAAAGTACCAGGCTTTAGAAATGTAGGCATCTTGCTAAGACTTAGCCTCCTGTTCCACTGCTCACCACCATCTCCCACACCACTAGCAGATTAAACAAGCAATCGTATCTTAAAAACACAAACCCCACTAATATCACTGCAGCAATAAAAGACCTCAAAACCCAAGAGGTAGTCTAAAGAAGCACAGAGTCCTTAAGAACATGCCCCGACGGACAAAACTGTCCGACGGCAGTTTGTCTGGCATATTCTCCACTCATACCATGTTTAGCATGAGATTGGCTTTTAAACAATGCCTTGTGTAGACAGAAGTTTCGAAAGAGGAAATCTCTGTGGAATGCCTAAACGTATAGCACTGCAAAACGGTCACCACAACTAAGAAGCAACGCTAAGTACTAACAATGAAGACTTCCCTTTTCTCTAGCATTACACACAATGCTCAATAAAGAATTTAAGATGCTGGGGAAGGAAGAAACCAGAGAACGAGCCACGCCGAGGGTCATGCAAAATAGAAGACTACTCAAATTTCACAATTCAAGACTTAAATTCTGCAAAGCTGAACCCTGCTCTCAAATCAAAGATGTCCTTAATGGTGTAGACAGACAACAAGGCCAGGCTGGATGGGGCTTTGAGCAACCTGCTCTAGTGGAAGGTGTCCCTGCCCATGGCAGGGGGGGTGGAACTAGATGATCTTTAAGGTCCCTTCCAACCCAAACCATTCTGTGATTCTATGATATGCTTTCACTCACGCACATGGTTGAGCTTCATATTAGATCAGACTGGTACAGCACCCTCAAATACTTAAAGTGTATTCACTTTATTTTAGGGCTGCTGTAAATTTATTTTATTTAACTGTGGGTATAATGAATTTGTTGTAGTTTGCAAAGAAGAATCGACATTAACAAGTTTCCTAAAAATACAGTTCACAAAAATAAGACATTTGGTAAACAAACACAAATTTTGTGAAAGATAGCAGCTTCCCGCACATGAATGTCAGATATCAATCCCCATTTCATCTACTTTGATCTAGATATTGCAAAACTAATATAATTTGTGCACTTTTGTCCCTGCCAACAAATTATCTTCGCTGCCGACAACTAGCAAAGCTATCTTTCATTCATCTGCCTAGCAGTTACTTCAGAATAACTGAAGTGAAACTACATTTTTAAAAGAGAAAAATTAATTTATATTCACAGGGTTGTATAAACAGCTGGAAATAAATGGTGTTCCTTCCCACCTAACCCCACTTCTGCAAATAAATGCAGTGTACCAATATGCCAGACTTAACACACAGCCTAGACTTCTGAATTATTATAATAGCTTTTTTCCTTACACAGGAAGAGACAGCTTATTTGGCTTTAGTGAATTTAACATCTTAAAGACAGGTTTTCCTTAATGTATATATGGACAAATGTAATCTTGACTCTTTTTAAATAAACTGAGTAATTCTGCTTCTCACTTGAGATGACAAAACAAATCCTGTCTTCTGTTATAAAACAAGTCAACTGGTCCTACACTTTTTTTTTCTTTTTCCATAAATGCAAGTATTTTCTTGCTCTTAAAATTGTACCTTCATATTCTAAAAGTATTTTTTAAAACATGGTACCAATCTTTTAAATTTATTTTTAGAAGAGCCCAGCAGAAATGCCCCATATTGCCAGTTTCCTGAAGTACATTTTTGCATAACATCATCCCATTACAAAAGTCCGCTTTCTAGTCCAAACCCATTAAATAAAGTTTTAAATATATAGTGCCAATTTTAATATTTACAATATATTCTGAAGGCAAATATAAATCTTAAGTTGTGCTTGTAAATACATACTGCAGTTACTCAATCTACTTCTACTTGGAAAACTATGTGCTACTTTCTAGACACACCACTGACCAACTTAATCACTTCCTGATAAGTTCTGATGCTGATGTTGAATTCGCAGTTGCCCACCATTCTAACCTCCTCTTTCATCAAGTAGTTAAAGTGGATGCTATAAAATATTTAAGGACACTTTAGCATGTGAGTTTTCCTCATGGTCCTTGCAGATTAATCCGATGTTGCACCCGGGACTTTAACAGTGAGATTCCTTCTGGTATTGGTGACATGACGTTGCTGAGCTAGGAACGAGCGTCCGGGACCATCTCTGCAGGCACCACTACTGCCAACCAGTCTTGCCTCCATGCCTAGCTTCTGAAGAGTTAGGCTCTGCAAACAAGTTAAACAACTTTTACACTATAGCAAAAACAGACAAAAATTTGTTCCTTTTTCATACATAAGCTCACGCTTACTTTGTATGCACACAGAATTTCTTTTACTGTATTTTTTTACATACTGCCTTGCTGCCACAAAAGGTGTGACCAAGGCTGAATAAGATTCATTCACATTCATATAGAACCTGTTAATTTTAAGCTTACAGTAAAGTTGTTCCTTTATAAGCCATTTAATTTTACTTTCTTTTTTGATTTCCCATTGCAGTCTTTCTTTATGAAACTCTATTTAAACATTGCTTCATATTAAGATGAACAACTTTCTCCAGTCCTTTTCACAGCGAGCTAATGCCAAATGTTCTAACAACCTTTGCAGCACTGCTGCAGGATGAGAAGATGGCTCTAGCTTTATTTCACAAATACTGTGCCAAAGACACTGAACATCTAAAGCGCGAGTCTGGAAACCTTTTGAACCACAGCCTCCCTTTGTCTCAAGCCCCAAAACTTCCAACAATGAATGCTACTGAATGTGCAGGAATTTTGCCTCCTAAATCCAGATGGAAGCTTGTGGCAGCAAATAGTACGCTGCTAACATCTGGCCTATGCCAAATTTTAAGTCTCCTGTTCCAAAGCACAGAAGACAAGCAGAAAACATAACAAAACAATTTTACAGAATAGTTGATTGTTAAAATATTGCTAAGAAGAAAAAAGTGGCGATGTAAGATTCAACTGTCACATTTAGCAAAATGTGTTTTTCTGGTTTCTCAGATACCAGCAATTGAACTTTTGACCCACCTTGTTGTACCATGCAGTTACAATTAGCTTTTCCTCATAATCACGTAGCTTAGCAAGTTTGTATTCAGCCTGCAAGGAGACAACAGAGAAGACAATCTCAATTAAAACACAAAAATAATCTGCATAAACTTATTGCAGTCCATTGAAATAAATACATGCAGCAGAAATGCTTAAATATGCTAAATAACTAGAAGGCTTAGAAGTTTAAATAAAGATACTTCCATAAATGACTATGAGAGAAGTTACAGACCACTTCAAGAAGTCGTTAAACTTTACACAAGTTGCACTTCAACTTAGAAACATACTTGGGGGGGCAGAGGAGGGAAATGCATGAAAGTCTAGGGTGTATCAAAGTCTAGAAATACTTTAGCAGTTGTTTCACCTGAAAGTCAAAGTCAAGAACATACCTCTAGTTGCTGAATAGTCTTATGTTACTGAATTGCTATAGTATGGTATACTTACCTAGCACATACACATAGGAGAAACCTGAGGTCACAGTATCTATAAAGTCAGACCTTTCAGCCTACTAACTCCTGTTGAGGAACTCTGTATTTGCTCAGGTAACTATTCTAACCAACCTCATCAATGTTGCTATAAAACTGAGGCATTTCCCAATTTTTTCTTGGTACTTGGACCACCGTCAACAATCCTTTCACAATTTCAGCCAAGAAGATTTTACTGAATTAACAGGTTTTACTCTTCTGTACAGTTTCAAGAACTCCCGTATATGAAACCGCTGATATCAGGGGTCTAGTAAATTAAACAAGTCACTGCTCAAATACCTAGTCCCTCATACAAACTAAGCTACATTACTACTGAAGTGTAGTAACTCTGAAACGTAGTAGTGTAGTAACTCTGCAGTTCTGTGCAAGTTACTGTAGCACGGCAAAATTATTAGTCTTAGGAAGTATTTCACTTGGAGCTTTTCCAAGGGTTTAGAAAGAATCCAGATTAGTGTTTCAGTTGTACATTGAAAAACACTGTTGAAAAGCAAACAGCTCTGACAGATTTACACTAGGATACAAACTGAATTAAGCCAGACTAAAAATCTCTAGGTCTGATGGTCTGCACAGTTTCTAACTGAATGCAGCAAAAAACGGTACTGGCCCACAAGGAGACAGCAACTTGAGTGTCTAATATCAGAAACAGCAGAACATATTAGAAATTAAATATATGTAAATTTTTACCTCTAGGGCTTCAATTTTTTTGTCTTTCTCTGTTATCTGTTTTCTGAGCAACATAATTTCTGCTGATGCTGGATTTAGCTTGGGGTCTAAGGTTTTTATCACCTGTAAAAGGCAAAACAAAAGCATTACAAGTCAGGTTTGATTCTCAACAGCTCTGCATCTCATTTGCTCACAGCAGAAATACAAAACCAGACCAAGCACTAGTCAGGCAATTATGATGAAAACTAGGCTGCTACACTGTCCAACAGAAGATATCAAAGGGTACGGACGAATCATTAATGCATCTCGTGCTTTAGCCTAAACCCCATTCTCTCATACACTGACTGCAGTTGACCAATTTCACTAAAAATGCCACATGTAGCTACTAATTTTAATTGGAAAGTGGAGGGACACACATCCCCCCAATCAATCTATTTAACAATTTATGAATGAGGAATGTGTATGTTCAGAAACATGCCACTCACATTTCTTGCTTTCTCAAGGTACATTTTATATCTTTCTTCCATCGCTTTCATATCCTCGTCTTTTTTTCGCAAAGCTGCTTCCAGCTCTCCAATCTTCTGGGCTATTTACAGAAAATATCAGAGACATACAAAATAAAAATTGACATGGTACTTTCAAGGCTTTGTGTTCTCTTGATTTAACCAACCCCCAAATAAACTTTCTAACTACTACACAATTTCCTACGTTCTTATTTTTGTTTCAGTTGTACTGTAAGGTCCCACCTGGCCCCGAATTCACGTTTTGTGGAGTATTGTTTGACAAAACTATGCCCCCAAGAACCTCTCCCTGCCCACCACAGTGTGCAAAAAAACCCCTTCCACCCACTCCCATTTCAGAGGTAATATTAAGCTGTAGCAGAAAGCCTAATCCAGACAAGTATCCCATAGCCCAGTGGCTAAGGGAATAATTTCACAAGAAACATAACAGTCTCATGAAAAAAAAAACAAAACCACCCACACAAAACAACTTACGGTTCTGGCTAACATCAGGCTGGAGTTCTGCAAGATCAGCCTCTTTCTTCTGTAACTCATCATGAACTTCATTC